CTAGATGAAGGACCCGCATATAAGCGGGTTTGTGATTTAATTTTTTTATAAATTTATAAAAAATAAAATATTTAATTGTGGTGAACAAAATTAGATCATTCTTAACATAAATAAAATCAAAGTAAGAATGTTACTGCAAAACCATTGATCGAGAAAAATATTATTTATTTATTAATTTTTATGTTTTTGTTATTTGATTTACAACTAAATTTTATCATATCTTTTGAAATTATTAGTTTTTTTCGTCCTATTTAAATTTGGTAAATTTTTTATTTTTAATCTTATTTTACTATTCAAATATCTACTTTGAAAATGTTGATGGATTATTTCTCATATTTATATTTAAACTATTTTTACTCTTAAATATTTTATAACTTGCAAAAATCAAAGACATAAAAGACAAACGACAAAATTAAATCACTCCATTTATATAATAAAATAAAATTGAAAACGTTATTACGAAATCATTTATATAGAAATCTATAAAATATTTATCTATTGTATTCTTATATTTTATTTTTTATATTTTTATTTTCAACTAAATTATACAACATATATTCAAACAGTTAAATATTTATAATCCAATTTAAAGTAGAATTACATTTTACCTCTTTTACTATTACCAAATCAAGAGAGTATTATTTTTAAATAGATAAATCTTTTGAAATGTGGCTAAATTTAATTAAAAAAATTACTTTATACTTGTATAAATCTAACCGATTGACTCAAACATGCCTCATAAGATTAATTATCTTGTATAAAAAATCTGAATTTGCAAAATAAATTATTTTTATCATTTTAGTAATTATTAAACATAAAACAAAATCAAGCAAAAAGTAGAAAAATAAATTATTACACCTCATATCAATGTTGTCAACAACAAACAAAAAATTTGTGTTAGAATGAATCATATTAAGTTAAAAAAACTAATATATATTGTCGTATTCTATTTCACATACCGAAAAATATAATACTCTATCTTTTCTGATGAAAAACCAAAACAAATAATTTTTATGAAATATTATTAAAGTTTTAAATTACGTAGAATGGAGAGAACATAAAAGTATATATAAATGTGAAAATTTAGATATTTAAACTTAAATCTATTCAAACTAAAAACAATTACATGTACATTATAATATCTCAATAGGAAAAGGTATTTGATTTATTTTTTTATCTATTTCTATTTAAAATTAAAATATCTAATTGATAAATACAACAAAACAAATTATTTAAAAAAGTTGTTTGACATGTGGT